TGATGAGCTACTGAGGATATGTATCTGTATGACCATATAAAGCGATACACATGCCAATAATATGACGTGCTGCCTGGAATATGTATCTATATGACCATATAAAGCAATACATATGCTAATTAGATGATGTGCTGCCTGGGATGTGTATCTGCATGACCATATAAAGTGATCCATATGCCAATTAGATGATGTGCCGCCATGAATATGTATTTGCATTACCATATAAAGCGACCCATACGCTAATTAGATGATTTGCTGCTGATATGTATCTGCATGACCATATAAAGTGATCCATATGCTAATTAGATGATGAGCTGCTGAGGATATGTATCTGCATGACCATACAAAGCAATCCATATGCTAATGAGATGACGAGCTGCTGAGGATATGTATTTGTATGACCATATAAAGTGATCCATATGCTAATTAGATGATGTGCTGCCATGGATATGTATCTGCATGACCATATAAAGTGATTCATATGCTAATTACATTATGTGCCGCCATGAATATGCATTTGCATGACCATATAAAGCGAACCATATGCTAATTAGATAATGTGCTGCCTATGATATGTATCAGCATGACCATATAAAGTGATCCATATACTAATTAGATGATGAGCTACTGAAGATATGTATCTGCATGACCATATAAAGTGATCCATATGCTAATTAGATGATGTGCTGCCATTGAAATGTATCTGAATGACCATACAAAGTGATTCATATGTTAATTAGATGATGTGCTGCCGAGGATATGTATATGTATGACTATATAAAGCGATACACATGCAAATGAGATGATGTGCTGCCTGGGATATGTATCTATATGACCATATAAAGCGATACTATGCGAATTAGATGATGTGCTCCCTGGGATGTGTATCTGCATAACCATATAAAGTGATCCATATGCCAATAAGATAATGTGCCGCCATGAAAATGTATTTGCATGACCATATAATGCGATCCATATGCCAATTAGATAATGTGCTGCCATGGATATGTATCTGCATGACCATATAAAGTGATCCATATGCCAATTAGATGATGTGCTGCCATGGATACGTATCTGCATGACCATATAAAGTGATTCATATGCTAATTAGATGATGTGCTGCCGAGGATATGTATCTGCATGACCATATAATGTGATCCATATGCCAATTAGATAATGTGCTGCCATGGATATGTATCTGCATGACCATATAAAGTGATCCATATGCCAATTAGATGATGAGCTACTGAGGATATGTATCTGCATGACCATATAAAGTGATCCATATGCTAATTAGATGATGTGCTGCCTGGGATATGTATCTGTATGACCATAAAAAGTGATTCATGTGCTAATTAGATGTGGTGTCGGGATGAATATGCATTTGCATGACCATATAAAGCGAACCTTATGCTAATTAGATAATGTGCTGCCTATGATATGTATCTGCATGAGCATATAAAGTGATCCATATGCTAATTAGATGATGTGCTGCTGATATGAATCTGCATGACCATATAAAGTGATCCATATGCTAATTAGATGATGAGCTGCTGAGGATATGTATCTGCATGAGCATATAAAGTGATTCATATGCTAATTAGATGATGAGCTACTGAGGATATGTATCTGCATAACCATATAAAGTGATCCATATGCTAATTAGATGATGTGCTGCCATGGATATGTATCTGCATGACCATACAAAGTGATTCATATGCTAATTAGATGATGTGCTGCCGAGGATATGTATCTGTATGACCATATAAAGCGATACACATGCCAATGAGATGATGTGCTGCCTGGGATATGTATCTATATGACCATATAAAGCGAAACATATGCTAATTAGATGATGTGCTGCCTGGGATGTGTATCTGCATGACCATATAAAGTCATCCATATGCCAATTAGATGATGTGACGCCATGAATATGTATTTGCATGACCATATAAAGCAATCCATATGCTAATTAGATGATATGCTGCCTAGGATATGTATCTGCATGACCATATAAAGTGATCCATATGCCAATTAGATGATGTGCCGCCGTGAATATGTATTTGCATGACCATATAAAGTGATCCATATGCTAATTAGATGATGAGCTGCTGATATGTATTTGCATGACCATATAAAGTGATCCATATGCTAATTAGATGATGAGCTGCGGAGGATATGTATCTGCATGACCATATAAAGTAATCCATATGCTAATGAGTTGACGAGCTGCTGAGGATATGTATTTGTATGTTCATATAAAGTGATTCATATGCTAATTAGATTATGTGCCGCCATGAATATGCATTTGCATGACCATATAAAGCGAACCATATGCTAATTAGATAATGTGCTGCCTATGATATGTATCTGCATGACCATATAAAGTGATCCATATACTAATTAGATGATGAGCTACTGATATGTATCTGCATGACCATATAAAGTGATCCATATGCTAATTAGATGATGTGCTGCCATGGATATGTATCTGCATAGGCTAATTTTGAACAAGTAATTTTGGATATTACACAAGTAAAAAAATTCCCAGGGCTAAGCTAAACAAACAAACACATGATCAATTACTAATGTTAGTTCTGATAACTTTGATTCAATATAGCATGTATATTATCAGGGCTTATGTAATTATACAATGTCAGTGATCAAAAACGCTGATATTTCTTGGGCAGGTACTTCAATCTAGCAATCTTCTCTCCAGAGCATTT